TTAATTTAATGAAATAAATTTTTTTTTATTTTTTATTTTAACACTTTATCCCTTTATTTTCATATCGCTATATATTAGTGATTCAAAAAATAAAACGATGATTTCATAACATGTTTTTTAGTATTGTATAATAAATGAATTTCTAATAAATATTAATTCGTTGTTAACAACAATATAAATATTAAAAATTAATGCATTTATATTGCATTTATCAACGATATCTTATTTTATGTAATATTTAATTATTACATCATTGCATGAGTACTGTATGTTTACAAACTTTACATATATTGTAATATCTATAATAATAATTAATTATTGCTTTTTATAGTGTTGTATGATATCAACAACAAAAAATTATTTAATTAATGGGTTTCTATTAGTTAACTATTATTATAAATTTTTACACAATAGTATAATAATAAAAAAGCCAATTATATTGACTAAATATTTGTGCATTAAAAAAATTTCAAACCACATTATAATTTACATTCAATAGATTTATAAAATCAATTGCCTATTGTATACATAATTTAATAAATCTAATATTAATTATTATTATCGTATATTAAATATAGGAATGGATTTTCCGATATTTTTTTATTGAAATAATATTTATATTATCTTTTAATGCGTTTGAAACTTATGATTGATTTTAATGGATTAGACTTCAATCACATCAATATATTAATATTTTATGTGATTTTTATATACAAAACAAATATTGTGGTTTTCATATATATATATACTGTACTGTATTTATATAATTATAATTTATTCAATGTATAGCACATAATATATAATTGATGAGTATATTTTTGAAATATTAATTTTATTGTTAGACATTGAATTCAAATAATTATTTACTATAGCAATATATTTGTTTGTAAGTGTATTATATCAACCTTCAAATATCAATATTATTAATTTACTATTTTTATTTTTAAAAAAAATAATCCACTAAATTAGTTATTTATAAATTAAGTGATATAAAATACTTACTTTAACACATAATTACTTGATAAACGATTTATTAATAACCATTAAATTTTAATGTTTATGCCAATGATTTAATTATGTAAAATTATACGATTATATAAAAAGTATATTTACTATATTATGTATAATACTGTATTATAGTATAGTTAATGCATAACAATATATCATTAATTTTAGAAAATAAGATACATTAAACTTTTTATTTTGAAACTAAGTTATTACGTATACATTAGTTATTTATTATATTACACTATTAAAAAATTATATAATAAAATTTTGCAACAATTTAAATATTTTAAAAATAAAATAATTTTGTATTAACTCATAAAAACAAACTCACAATCTTATTGAATATATATATAACACGGAAATACTATAATTTTTGACAATTTTTTAAATTTTAATTAAAAAAATGTGATTAAAAAAGTGTTTCTATGCAAAAAACAACAAAATGTATTCAACAACAAAATTTAAAGTTTTAAATTGCTAATTTTTTTATCATAACTTTATTATATCTGTGATGTTTTGTCAAAACATAGTTTGATGGACACAATATAAAATTTCATTGATCATCAACAAGAAAAAAATATATTAATAATTCATATTATTGATTATCACTTGACTGTATGTGTGCTATATTGGTGTGTCCTTTAGTGTAAAGTGACTTATAGATAGATTACCCCTCACTGGTAGCTCAGGGCTAATGAGAAAACATTAATTGACAGTTAAGTTTAATACAGTATATTAATATATAAAGAGGATATTATACATATAGTGTAGGAGGTTTTTAGGCTAATCCTAGAGACGGCTCATACCCTAACACATGGTGTGAAAGTGATGTCAAATATAATTAATAAATAGACATTTTTCATTATTTTGTTTTATTTTTTTTATTAAAGATAAAATAGTCAATAGATTGTTATATATTTTTACTAATTACTATTAATTATAATTTTGTCTAAATCAATATATATATATATATATATAGGATGTTATTATTATTATTTTCAAAAATAACAATTAAAAAATCGTGAAGTGATAGTTAAATAATTTTTCAAAAAAATAGTTAATTGAAAAAAATTAATTACTAAAATAATGCCAATGTTTTGCTATTAAATAATAGTTTTAAATACATATAAATTATATACAAACAAAAGCAGATGTTTTAATATTAGTATTGCGTTTATAGATATATAAACAGTAGAGTACTGTATATATATAATGTATTGTTAAATAGCAAATAGATATACAAACAAATTAGGGGTATTTAATGGTTCAAATTAATCCTATTGTCTGAAAAAATTTATATATTTATTGTAGTTTCCTAAATGCAAAAATAATGTCAATGTCATTATATATATGTGTGGCATTTAGATTTTTAAATATTATTTTAAAAATAAATTTTGTATATAAGTTTATAAATTATTTAATAGTGTTTAAATTAAAAGTCCATTTATCTTATGTCTCAATTCAATAATTGCATTATTATTTAATTATTATTTAATTATGAAATTATTTATTATACAATTTAAATATTTATCGGAATTTGTTTATAAAGTTAAGAAAACAAAACAAAAGATGTTAGATTAGATTGAATTGAATTTTAATTAATTGTAAAATTTAATTATTGCCTATTGTTTTAAGTAAACAAAAATTACGATACCTATACAAAATCAACTATCAATAAAAAAAATTTAAAAATTAATTAATTAATTATATTTGTAATTATTTTAAATATTTAAACAAGATAATATTTAAAGATATCTTAATCAAAAGTTGACAAGGTTAATGTTATATATATATATATATAATAAAGATATATAATTACATTAGTTTTAAACTTAATAACTAATAAAATTAAATTATGATCAAATAGACTTTTATTATCTATAAACACACTATTATAGCGTAATAATAGTTAATAAAAAAATAACTAATAAAATTAAATATTTATACAAATTGCACTAAAACAAAAAAAACAAAAATTAAAAAATATTAGTTTTTATTTTTACCTATCGTCTAATGTAATGTGTTTACCATTAACTGAAAACAAAATTAAAAATTATTAGGCTATTAATTTTATTACAATGTGTTTAAATAAAATGTATTTTTTCTCAGAGATGAAACTTTTCAATGTCTTACGTTAAGTCACACAATCATTATGTTTGAAAATTATTAATATAATAATTATGTTTTTTGGTAATTTAATATTAATAATTTATGTCATAAAAATGTTTAACTTTTAAATGTATAGCAAAATTAATTATAAATATTTTTATTTTATTTATCATTTATCATTTGGTGATAGATTAATAGTTTAAATGATTTTTTAAACGAAAATTTTAAAGAAAATTAATTATTATTAACAAAAATACCTAAAAGATGAGCACATTTTATAATTGTCGGCATTTATCATATAATACCAAACATCATATGTATAAACAAATAAACAACAAAACAAATTGTAATAAATTTATCCCTGAATTTAGCTTTTTGTTTAATATTTGTTTCTTTTTGTTTGTTTTGTTTTTTTGACAATAAGTTTGAAAACATAATTTTTATAAACAATATAATTTATATACAGTATGTATAGTAGATTTGTATAAAAAAAATTACAAATAAAGTTATACAGTATTATCATTATTATTCAATATTATTTATTTATTTATTTTAAAATAAACAAAAAATAATAATTAAATATTCATTAGCAATATGGCTATAATTTAATAGCTGATCATAGCTAAAGTCATAATCAAAATAAAGTTATTAAATTTGAATTTAAAGTGTTTTCACTATTAACACTGAAATTCATTAATAATAATATTAAATACTATCAATTTTACTGTCATTTAAAAAAATATCATTTAAAATTCAATATCATCTTAAAATGTATTTAATAATAACAAATATGATAATAAAATTCAGTTATTTTGAGTATTCAACCATAAAAATCATTTATTTGATGACTATTTTGATGAGTTATTGAATGAGTTAATGAATTTATTATTTGTTTTTCTTTTATTTTAAAAAAATTATTTTAATAAAATATTTTTTATTACATTAAATATTTATATTTGAAAAAATGTCAAAATTTTATATATGAGTGTGATTTCCGATTCAATTACAGCTATCATAAAAAATGTATTATATTAATAATCACTTTATTTAATAACAATATTTAACAGTAAATATGACAGTAATTTATTAAATATTTGTTTTTACAAAATACAAAAAAAAAATTACTGTCAATATTATGTTAAATGTACGTAATTAACAATTATTGATTGTCTAACAAAATATCTAAAAATAATTTTTTGATATAATATGGAATCAAGAATTTTTGTTGAATATATAGGAAAATACAATACTTTATAGTTATGATTAGGATATGAAATACATGATAGATATAATAGATATATTTAAATACATTTAATGTGAAAATACTTGTACTTTTTTCAACAGTAGTTTAGTACAAAATAATATTAAAATACTTAAATTTATAAATAATTTTTTTCTAACAAAAAATAATTCATGAATTATAAACTCATGTCTTTATTCATATCTTTTACTGAATCACTTGTAAAACAATATAAAGTGTATATAAAGTTTTTTTTTATTTATTTATAAAAAAAAGTTATTTAATGTATATTCTCATTATTTTTATTGTTGTTTTATTTGTTGTAATTTTTACTTTCACTTATTGAAAAATCAAATCACGACTTTATTTAAGTTTCATAGTATTTAACATTAAACTTATGGTAATTTAATTGCTTAACTTCATTGACACTTTTTGTCTATAGTTTTGAATAGTTGTATAATTTTAAAGTTTACAAATTTAAATTTAAATATAGTTTTTGAAAACAATAAAAAATAGTTATTTACTGTACATTAAAAAAATGAAATTAATATTTGATGTAAATTTTAAATTTAAATTTTTAACAATAAATGTCATTTTTGTATATTTATAAAACAGTTATACACTATAATCATAAACTAAATCATTGCCAAACAAATGGATAATACAATTATTGGCATTATTTTCAAACTTTTATTACTATTGATTGGCCAATCAATTGCTCAACAATTTGATAGTAAGTATATTTCTTTTATATATTGATTTATAAATTTATAAAATTAGTGATGTTAATGTTTAGCACTGATTAATACTGTATATAATTATTATAATGTATAAAAATAATTATTAATATATAGATTTAGTACAATTTATATTAAATATTATTCATTAATTAGATTTTAAACTGTCAAATAAAAAATTATATTTATTTAAAAGTTTTAGAAATTAATAATAAAATAATATATTTATTATAAATAGTTTTTAAAATTTAAATTTAATAAAAACTTTTCAACATTTAGATACTCTCTGTCAAAGTGAGGGATTTTTTCGGGACCCCAAAGATTGTGTCCAATTTTATCGATGTGTTCCCGACGAGACAGCCGGTAGACTTCGTATATACCGTTTTGCTTGTCCTCCCGGCACTGTGTTTGACGAGAGAAACTCGGTGTGCAATTGGCCTCATTCGGCACCGCCATGTGATGCATCATCACCTGCAACACTACCACAGAACCAGTACAATGGGGTTCAATCATCAGCAGTGGCTAACGATCCTAACCTAAATGGCCAATCATATGCCAGACCTCAGATGCGTCCTGAGGACAGTTATTACTACCAACCGGTCGGACAACCGGCCGCTTCCTCTGGTGATGTTACCTATGAACTCGAGCCACTCGACCAATCTGTTAGATCGCCCGCATCGGGTCGCTCACAGCGCTCACAAAATACTGCCCGACCGCGAGCTCAGCCCAAAACAACTACAACTGCCGCACCATTACTGCCAACAAGTAATGCAAACGAAAGGTTTCCAAACATTAGACCACAAGACCCGTCGCGTTATTTTTCGCCGGCACCGGACAATACTCAATCCGATGATGACTGGGCTCAACCATCACCTAAGGCTGATGGACAGGGAGATGGTTCACAAAATGTAATTATTTAAATACTGCTATTACTTATTAATTAATTTGTTTAATTATAGGATCGGATTAGCCAACAAAAAGATGACAACTTAGAGGACACAGATGTCCAACAAAAAGAACAGCAACAACAACAACAAGAAGAAGATGATAGCGACAGTCACTCAGATGCCAGTCCTTCAATGAAAACCACTGCCAAACCGCCGACAAAAACTGCCACAAAACCCAGTGCTAAACCGCAAACTAAATCTAAACCGCAAACCAAATCTAAACCTAAACCACAATCGCAAACAAAACCGGCTACAAAAGGCAAGCCGACCAGTGATGAGGCGACTAAAGGAAAGACCAGATCAAAACCAAAGCCTACTCCGCCAGTTAAATCACCGACAAAGACAAGCACTGCCCCTAAAAAACAAACTACAACTGCCAGTCCTAGTGCTACACCAATGACTTCAACTAATGCTGCCACTGATGCTGAAGAAGAACAACAGACCACTACTACAGAAACTTCCGGCGGTTCTGAAGATGAAGCCACAGAAGTACCGAAAGAGACACAACAATCGGGCGAACAGATTAGTCAAGCGAAGGATACGGATGACGAAGATTTACCGTCGGCCGATGAGGACTGTAATTGTTCGCCAGTACGGCGTATATATCAGTGCCGAACAACCGGTTCGTTTAGAGATCCAAAACGATGTAATATGTTTTACAAGTGTACCGAAACTGATGGAGGATTCAATGCCGATCAATACGAGTGCGATGAGGGTATGGTTTTTGATGAAAAATCAGGGAAATGTGATAAGGAATCGACCAGTAATAAGTGTCCTACAAAAAAGGCTACCAGTGCTCAAACAGGTAATCATAATAATAATTATAAAGTATTATTTTTTATGAATATATTTATTCCATGACAAAGATGACAGCAAAAAGGGTGGTGTGTTAGCCCAGCAAAAGGATAAGCCACGGTTCACACCCAGACCTACTGCCAAACCATTGTCAAGATGTGAGATATCATTTGATTAATTTAATAAATTATATCATTTTGTTTTTAATTTTAAAACCTTTCAGCCTCTGAACCGACTGAAGATGAAGAAGAGTCAACACCAAGCGATAGCACTGATAGTTCTACCGAAGCAACGACAGAGTCGTCAACCCAGACATCACCAGAAACAACATCAGAATCAACTGAAACATCTTCAACTGAATCTTCAACTGAATCTTCAACTGAATCTTCATCTGAATCTTCATCTGAATCGTCAACAGAAACAACATCTGAAGCTTCCACCACAAAGTCATCTGAGGAGACGACTACATCTCAGTCCACGGATACAACTTCCAGTGATGAACCGTTAGACAGTACAAGTGAACCATCGACTGAGACAACATCCGAATCATCTACCAGTACGTCAACCGAAAGCAGTACAGAGCAGTCATCTGAGTCGCCGACATCCGAGTCAACAGAATCCTCATCTGAACCAACAACTGCCAGTCCTTCAAGTGAATCGACAACAGAAGCAGCGACTGAAACAACAGAAAACGAAAGCTCGTCAAAGACCACATCTGAAGAATCGTCAGATAAAACAACTACTGAAGCGTCGAGTGAGACGACCACACCTGCAAAAGATGAAGAGACGACATCACCAACATCTGAGACGAGTGCAGACACAACTACTACAGCACCCGAAGAAACAACTACCGAATCTGAAAGTGTTGAGACAACTGACGAGTCAACTGATGGACAAAAATCAACTAAATCTGATTTAAGAAAACCATCGCAACGTACAACTGAACCAACTGTTCAACAACAAGAAGAAGACGAACACGAAGATGAAGAAGAGGACACACCGATAGACACATCGACATCAAAGCCAGAGAAACCTAAACCTGCGGCGCAGAGGACTAAAGCTCCAACAAAAACCAAGTCTACAACACCTTCAAGTGATGAACCTATTGAACAACAACACGAAGACGATAGCGACAGTGCTTCTGGTGCTCAGCAACAACGGCCCACACAAAGACCTATATTTAAACCTAAACCTAAAACAAGTACTACTACTGCAGCACCTGAAAACAGTAGTGAAGAACCAGTTGAACAACAAAAAGTAGGTCAAATACCTGAAGATGATGCACAAGTAGATCAACAACAACAACAAGAGGAACAGATACCTGAAGATAGCAAACAGTCTGCCAATGATAAGGATAGACAGCAAGAAGAAGAACAACAGCAACAACAGATTCCACAAGAAGATGAACCACAAGAGCAGCAACAACAACATGAAGACAATGAGGATCAGCAACCAATACAACAACAACATGAAGACAATGAGGATCAGCAACCAATACAACAACAACATGAAGAACAAATACCTCAAGAACCTGAAAATCATCACCGATTTACAGAACGTCCTCAACAGTCATCAACAACACCCGTACCACGAGATGAACAACAACACATACAACAAGTTACAGATGACGAGCAGTTACCCGAAGATAAACCTCCAGTTAGGGGTCGGCCATCACAGCGACCAACTGATCCATTTGAACAGGAAGATGTAGCTATGGTTGATCATGGATTTGATTCATCCAATCGCCAAGATGGACAATTTAGTCCAATACCCGAACGTAATAGACAACCACACGGAGGAGGAGTAGGACAACAATCTGGTCAATCAGGCTTTCAGTGCACCGAAGAGGGCTTTTTTAGAGACCCTAACGATTGTAACGCATTCTACCGGTGCGTCAATCAGTTTGGTCTAAAAAGGTTTGACTTCCGGTGCGGCGCTGGTCTTCATTTTGACGAGAGATATAAGGTATGCAATTGGCCACAGTCTGCTTATCCGTCATGTCAGGGATCAGGTAGTCAACAACAGCAACAGAGACAACCATCTATACCGCAGCAAAAACCATCGCAACAACCAATTCAGGATCAGTTCATTGAATACAGTCCTCAAGAGTCGAGGAATCGATTGAACAGTGATAGTCAAGTGCGCGAACCCAACCAACCTGTCAAAGGTTTACCCTATTATTATAACTACTATTACTAAAAATTAGTTAATTATATTTTAACAATTATTAACTAATTTATGCTACTAAATTATAAACTAATAAATTAATTAATTATCATAAAATAATATAATAATAAATATAACTAATAATGCTTTAATTACAAATAATTTTTTTAATTTATTTTATTTTCTATCTTTTATGTAATATAATATTTATATCTTATTATCTATTAGTAGTTATCGTAGTATTTTTAAACAATTAATATATAGTAATCGCACATTTTATTTTTTATTTATTTACTTGTATTAATTATTGTAAATTTGTTAATTTATTTTCATGGCACTAAAACATTTTTATTTTTTTAAATTTTATTTTCTATAAACTAATCAACACAATAATTAAAATAATAAATTAATATAAATTTAACAAATTGTAATTGCTCAAAATATTAATTAACAAGTTTTTTTCAATAAATAAATTTTATTTTTCTATAAATAAATGATTATTATTAACAAACAAACAAAAATAATTTTTTCCGATTGAAATAATTTAACTAATTTGTCACTTGAAATAACATATTTTTAAAATTAAATTAATATTATTTTAAATAACAAAATAATTTTTAATATTTATCAAATTAATTGAAAACATAAATTTGTTTTGAAAAAAAATTTAAAAAATTAAATATTAATAATAATATTGATTAAATAGGTGGTACAAAATCAGGTGATAGTTCAAAAAAATCTCCATCACAACAGGTAAGTCCTCAACAATCAAATGGTGCCACAAAAGGACAGACATCACAACAATCTACAAAATCTGTGTCAAGACCTAAACCACCGGTAAAGAGCAGACCACAGACTACTAATGCTATCAAACCTTCAACTAACACAAGGGAACCGATGAAAGATCAGCAAAAAACCACTGGAAAGAGTCCTACAAAAGGAGGATCGGGTGCTAAACCTAAACCGGCAACAAAAGGACAAACAAAAAGTAGTGTCAATAGTGGTATCAAAGATAAACCACGATTTACACCACGCCCTCAACAGCAGCAAAAAGGTGGTAAACATATGGACACTACGACTAAAGGCAATAAACAGAAAAGTCCGGCAAATGTCGGCCGAAAAACAAAAAATACCCCAAGAAGTGAACCGATGAAGAAAGTCGATAATCAACAGTCGTCGACACAACAGAAAACTAAACCAATGTTTAATCCGAGACCACAACAGAGTGAACGCATCAAATCGTCGACTTCGAAGGCAGCGGCGGCGGCACCGGGAGGTCAACGAAAAGCGCAAAATAATAAAAATAAACCGCAAAAGAAGTCTAACGGCGCTCAACAACAACAAACAGCTCAACAGTTTATTCAACAACAGAGACGCCGTCGTCAGTCTAAATCGGATACATTACGGGACAAGATTTTTGTGGCACAAGAGTCCCAACGGGTGCTCAAAAAGTTAGAGCCTGTAGCTCAAGACTACTATCCATTCAATAGCTATAATATTGGTTCACAACGGAAAGCATTTAAATGTCAAAAAGAGGGTTACTTTAGACATCCCTCTGATTGCTCAAAATTTTACCGATGCGATCGTACACCTGTCCTACGTATGCACGAGTTTGCCTGTCCTCCAGGTCTACACTTTGACCCGAGCAAAGGTCAATGTAATTGGCCAATACTTGTATCGCCACGTTGTGGTAGTACTGGCCATAATACCGGTACTATTGTCGGGGATAAACAAGTAGTTAGTAATCAACTATTATTCAGTTCGCCAACAAATTATCAAAATTATAATAACTATAATAATAAACCTCAAGATATCGTTAGATTTAATGAAAGTCCATTAGAGTCAAGTAATAGATTGATTTATAGTAATGGTCCAAAACATACCGGTGCTCTCTCACAATATTGGCCTAATTATAGTCAATATTGGAATAAAAATTTTGGTTAATTATTAATATTTGATTCAATACATATGTTTACTTTAATCATTTATCTAAATAAAGTTTAAAATAATGTTATTTTTAATAATATCTAAATAAATTTATTTTATATATAATTTACATTATGTACAGTCATATACTGAACATTATTATTATTTGTATATTTAATAAAATAAACTATATAACTTTAACTAATATCAAGGACAATTAATTGACAAAAAATAAATATATCAAAGTTTCCTAATTTAATAAACTCTATGATATTATTTTTGTTACATTGATATATTATATTAATAAAATTAAATAGACTTATATAAAAACATTTGTTATGAGTCGCAAATATATTTAGTAGTATTAGAAAATTTTTAAAAATAAAATTGAATTGAATATTTTGTTAAAATAAATAAAACATTAAAACAAAAATAAAAATGATTTTAATAGATATATTAATTATTATGTTAATAATTTTTTTAATATATTCTTTTATAGTTATAATGATAATATTCGGTAATTATTATTTATCACATTATTTATAATGAAAAACTTTATAATTAAAAAAAAATTTATTTATATTGATCTACAGGTAAATTTGGTAATTTATTTTCATTTAATTGGATATCAAACTATAACATGCCATACGTTTCCCACTATTATTACAGTAATGATATACCAATTGAATATGCGATAAGCGATGACATTAAATTGAAACTACAAAATGATATATCAATAGATGTCCCAATATATCATGTTTAGTTGTGTGATATATTATTAATTTGTAAAATTTTAATTTTTTCTTTATAAATACATTCATATATACATTATACAGTATATATATTGTGTATACAAATTTTATATTAAAATAATAGTTTTATATAAAACATTTTTTAATTATTGTAAATTGTTGATAATATTGATATTGATAAATATACTGTAAGTAATATAATGATAATTTTATATTTTAAAAATAATAAATCACTTAAAATTATTTGATAGACATACTAATATATGTACAATATATGATGTATTAAAAATAAATAAGTAATATATATATATAGTTTAATAGAATTCATAATTTTTTAATCCAACCTATTGTTAATATGGTAATTATAAATACTTTTTCATTAATGATTTTAAATACATTAAATAAATATATGAAATAATAAAAATAAAATACTAGAATAATTTGCTTGTTATTCTTAATTTTTAAGTTTATAATTATTATTATTATTTTCAACAAAACAAAAATTTATATTATAAATATTATATAATTATTTATTTATAACAGTAAATTTATACCGTATAACATTATAATATATTTTCTTTGAATTTAATTGATTTCGAAATTTATATTAAAATTTGTATAAAATTTTATTAGCATTATTTTATTCTAAAAAAATGCTTGATAACTATCAATATATATTATATATATATTAATATTATAAGAATATTTGATGACATGGCATTATTTTTTGCAAATAAAAACATATTTATTTTATTTCTTAATTGTTTTATTATTTACAATATATTGAAACATTTTTTTAAATAAATTTTTTTTATTAATTGTTTCTTGATAATATTAATAATATAAATTTTATTAAATAAATATCTCTAAATAAAAAAAAAATGTTAATCGTGTTTTTGCTTATCGTAATAATTGTTATTATGCTATGTTCATGTATAGCATATGTTATCATATATGGTAATTTATAAATTATAGATGTTTTGATAATTGATAATTTAAATATATATATATATATATATACCATGTACAATTAACAATATATTTTCGATAAATATTAAAGGTAAATTATGGACATACAACGATTTGAATAGGATTATGCCTCAAACCACCACAAATCCAAATGGTTACTATCGAGATCACTATTATGAACCACCAATGATCTACTATAATGCTGCTAATAAATATTATCCTGTAACATATATTTAATTTTTAAAATGTTTCAAAAAGTTACATGATGTTTATATCAACAATTAATTAACAAAACTAATATTTAATAAAATATTTTTTATAGTTATTATTTTGTTTATATAAATTGTAATATTACTATATGATACTTACTGTATGATAAATTAGTATTTAATACATTAATAGTGTACTACAGTATACATATTATTAAGACAGTTATAATTATATACAGCTATTTTGTTAACTAATTTGTAATATTTTTAAACAAATAATTCCTAAAATCCAAGTTATCGTCATATGAATGAATACTCCAAATAAAATTAGTTTATACTAAATGAATAAATTATTATCAGATATAAATAGACTAATCATAATAAAATATTAATTTTTACTAATAAAATGCATTTAGACTATTTAATAATTAATTAATTAAAATATTTATTACTATTACTTATTATAATGTAATGTATATTAGTTTTCGTGTTGACCACTAAATAACTCATGCGATTCAATAGCAATTAAACAAATAAATTTTATTAATAAAACATATTAAAGTAATTTGTTTATTGTATTCAATTTTACTGAATCTATGATTTCAATGTTTTTTTTGTGTTTATTAATAAATAATTTGCACAGTCCTACAATTGGACTATTGTTATACGTCAGGTTAGACATCATAACCTTAATAAATAATAATAATATGTAATACTGTTACCAAAAATATTTAGATTTATGCGACAATTAATATGTTTGTCTAAAAAAAACATAAAATCATAACTTTATATAATTGTATTTTGTATTGTAAATTGTATTTTAACATTTTTTTCTATAATAATCAGTCAAATAAAGTAATCTTAAAAAATGTATAGATATATCATAATAATAGCTATATTTACCTTATCTATTGGTGCCGTACTGGCCCAGCGTAAGCCTGATATTAATAAAGCCGAAACATTGTATGCTTCATCCCTGTTCCGTATGAACCAAGTGCTCGAAGGTATTCCCTATTTGCATGTCGTTGAAAATGTGTCGTCGGTATCGACATGTCTACTGAATTGTATGAAACGCAAACCCGATTGTAAATCATTTAATTGGGGTAACGGCACCTGTATGTTGATGTCAGACTCGATTTGCTTCAACGAAACCCTATTGTTGACCCGTAAAGAGGGTTATGCCTATTATGATATCATGGATGCACCCGATTCGGAGGTAAAATTTGTAATAACATTTAATTATTAAAGTATTATTATTATTATTATTATTATTGCAGAAAAAACATTTAAAGGATGGATACTGTCGTCTATTTGGAAAATGTTCCGCAAAATGCTATCCTCGCTCACGTGAGTCGTGTTTTTTTACATAAAAATTTATAAAAATTTTATTAAAAAATACGGTATTATTTTGCACCTATAGCTCACTTATCGGACACACCTATGATAAAAAGTGAGGCCAAAAAGTACTGCGAATCGCTGGGCCGGACACTACCGATGCCGACAAATCTGGACGAACAGAGATTTTTTGAGGCCTTTGCCCGAAAACGTCTGGCGGAACAGCCAGACTTGAGAACCGGTAAAGACACTAAATTCTGGATGGGTATAAGCGATGAGCTTATGGAGGAAAGTTGGATGTATGACGACGAGAACCCAGTTTCCGATAAGTTCTCGGCCTGGGCTACGGGTCAGCCCGATAACGGTGGAGCCTATGCTAACAGTGGCGAAAATTGTGGCGCTATTTCAGAGAAGGCAGAGTTCAAGTGGGCGGACGTTAACTGCAATTTGAAAATTAGATTTTTTTGCGCTTAAAAATCTGCATTTTTTAATTAATATATTATTAATATTATTGATTAATTAGTTTGTCATAAATTATGATAATTTTTAAAATAAAAAGTTTTTTTTTGTAGATTTAAATAAAATTATATAAAAAATAATTTTTAGTAAAAATATTAGCATATATTTTAGATAAAATTTTTATCGACAGCAAAAATAATTATATTTAATGTAAAATAAAAATGTATTTTTATGATCTATAAAATAAATTATTAAGTTTATGCTGTCCGCCGAGCAAATAATAATCAAAATAATAATTTTTGAATTAATTAATTAATTTTATAAACTTTTCTAATTAATATGTAAAATGTGATTTACTGTACGATATTTGTTTAAGAAATAAATTTTATGTTTTCAATTAACTAAAGTTAATAAAAAATATTGTTTTAACTATTTTTTTGTGGATAAAATATTAATTATTATTTTGTTATTATCTTTTGTTAATTTAGGGAAAATTCCTACAAAAACATGTTTAACATTATTAACAATTTGTTTACAAAACATTAATATTTTTATGTAACTGTTTATAGACTCTAATTTACTTTATTAATATTTTAACTATTAGTTTTGATAGGAATATTTATTTATTGCTTGACTCTCTCTCTCTCTCTCTCTCTCTCTCTCTCTCTCTCTCTCTCTCTTTCATTTCACTCACTAGAGAGATGGAGATAAATAGATAAGTAAATAGAGATAGATAGATAGAGAGATAGATAGATAGATAGATAGATAGAGAGAGAGAGAGAGAGAGAGAGAGAGAGAGAGAGAGTTTAAAAAGCTAATTAAAGTAATTAAAATGTCTTCATAAAGTTTAAACACTATTTATGATATTTTTGTAAATAAAATGTTGTTAATAAAAAATACTTGTGATCTACGACAAGATTTTTTTTTAAAAATAAATAATTTTATCATTTGATCCTATATGAATAATTGATGTAAATTTATTTTTAAAAATAAAATAAATAATACTCTATAATAAATAATCATTCCCTTAGATAATTAAATTTAAAATAAAATTTTTTAATTGTGAAAATTATTCTTGTATTTATTCTTGTATAATTATAGTATGTATGTAACATTGTATAATAAGGTATATATTGATAAATTAAGATAAATTTATGATACTATAATTAAGGATACAAATAAATAAATAAAAATATTGTTGATTACCTGTAATTAATTGACTATAAGTTCAAAAACATAGTGAACTACATGTACAGTGTTTTTGTTTAATAATAAATAAAAAGCATTTGTTTTTCAGTCTAAATAGAGTTTGACAGATAAACAGTTAGTTTTTGACAAAATGATTGCATTGAATGTCTATATTTATCTATAAATCTATCGACTAATGGATTTTCACTAATAATTTTTAGTTTAATAACTGAAAGAGCAATGTCTCGGAAAGGATGCTATGTTTTACACAAACTTATAATTTTTGTCATAAAATTTGTTAAAATAATGCGTTCAAAACAATTACTTATGAAAATTATTAATAAAATGTTTTAAATATTAAATGCAATTTGTGTTTTCTGAATATCTGGATATTTAATATTGAATCAATATTAGCTTTATTAGTGATATTTATCTATTATACATATTATTAATAATATTAATAATTTATTAAATATAATCACAAAATTTCCAAAAAAAATAATATTTTAATAATACTAATGCAATTGTTTGACCAAAAAGTAAGTAGTGATAAATAAATCAATAAAAATTATTTTGTTATTTTAATTAGTGTTTCAGTTAAATTAAATGAATTGTTAATTTTTATAATTATTTTAATAATCATGGTGCGCTATTTATTTTATTAATTAATTTTGATAAATAAAAATCATATAATATATTATATGTAATAATATAAAACCGTATGTAGAAAATAGTATAATATTATATTTTAAAAAAAAACTTTAACATAATCTTATTATAATTAATTAATTTCAACTATTTTTTAGATAAGTTATACCGAAATGAGCGAAAATTCATATCCAATTTGGTCATCGGTTTACATAAATAATTCAAAACGTGATGTCGAGTCGTCGCCAAATGAATTGCCGGCAAATTCTTTACAATTATTACGATATTATCGGCGAATGTCACGAAAAGTTCGCATAAAATTCTGGATCCGGTGTTCATTGTGTGTGATATGTCTGTTTGGACTTACATTTCACGCCTCAAAACTAGTTTCCGAGTATATGATCGGCCAGACAGTGGTCAACGTCAAAGTAGACAAAATCAAATACAATAAGATACCGGCGATTACTATATGTTATCCCAGATTTTTACCTATGGAACGACTGTCCCATTTGACTGATGAACTTAATGCCGACTATTTTAACTATCAAACTATTATTAAACAGATAGAGGACAAGGATTACCAAAATGAGACACTAAAGCAAACAATAATGGATATCTATTGGGAAAAATTTATGAACACTAACATACCGTTTGAAGTACCGGTTTATGAATTGTTTGGTAACTATAGCCTACCGTTTCGATTTCCAAAGCGATCGCTCTATCAGTTCGAGAAATACCGGGATTATGTCGGTGTATACGATGACTATGAGACTGAATACGCCATTGAGATTGAAGCTAAAGGAACTGTACGTAACGGTACCCATACATCCATACAGAGAATTAGAGACTATAATCCAGTGGAGTCGTTAGCCATGAGCTTTAGAGGCGATCAGTATAAGTGTTATACATTTTTTAGTGAACTGAACGAAAAATGGCGGAACTTAAGATTGAATCTCAATTATATTGCTATAGAAATACATAATGATTATCAATGGTTTCCGCCAAACATTTACGATAATATCAATACCTATCCTCAGCTGTCAATGCATTCGGGAAACATTATTCCCGACATTGCTTTTGATAATAATTTTTTGCCCCTCAGTCCCGGCTATTCTAATGAAATACTATACTCTCAAATTGATACTATACTATTGCCACCCAATTATATGACAAATTGCCAAAACTATGACCTAAACCAGAAAAATGGACACCGATTTCGCAGTGATTGTATAACGGATTGCGTATTAAAGATGTCAAAGATGAACAACAGTGATAACTGTATTCATAGGACGGCCGACCTGTTAAGGAAAGACCTATTGATGGCCAACCGAACGACAAAGTTTTGTCCCATATTTGACAAGTGGGGTGACTATCACCATAGTTTCTACTATGCGGCCCATATGTCCCATGAGGTGCGATCATCGTGTGATGACAACTGTCCGGACGAGTGTCACAACCAGTTCTTTGATTTTGTATTCAAAAAGAAAACTAAACTACCGTTGAGTTCGTGGGATAAGAGAGCGTCGGTTTATATATCACACAATCATTTGCCGGATCAGGTGATCGAACACTTACCCGAAATGACGTTCATATCGTTTATAGCATCGTTGGGTGGTTTGACCGGCATGTGGTTAGGCCTATCAGCGTTGGCCATCATTGACTTTATTATGCAGTTTTTTTAATACACCCACAAAAATTATTACATATTATTTAAGCATGCATAGTTTAGTTATATTTATTAATTGATTAATTTATATATTTATTTGCATCTAATGTTAAGTATGAATACTCTACTATTTATTAATTATTAATTCTGTAAAAATAATTTTAAAAAAAATACTTTTATATATAATTAATTTGATAATAATTTATTATATGTTTTAAATATACATATAATTATTATCTATTTATTGAATAAACTGTAATAATTATTAATCAAATTAAAAATAAAATCTTAATATCAATTAATCAATTGTACTAGTTAATTTAATACATGAATAATTTTATTTTTAATATCAATAAAAATTAAATCCATATAATATTTTAGACTTTTAAAAATATTAATATTAAAACTAACTTATCTAAGTTTTATGCTAATAATAATGATACTGAAAAATAAATACAATAAATATATTGTACTCATTTGCACTCTACATATACCCTATTATTAAATAGTATCATCAACTTATAATAAATTATTAAGCTAGATTAAGTTTGCTATAATTAATTAAAGATTAATAATAATTTACAAAAATTTTATTAATTTAAATAAATTACAATATTTATAATAAATTATAATATGCATTCAATAAATTGTAAAATAAATTTTATTTTCAACTTAAACTACCTTGGCTATGTTTACTCATTACAACATTACATGCACCATTAAATAAGTACAAAATATACTGTAAGTGGCGTAGTCAATTAAACTTAACAAAATTATATTGATAATTAATTCAATTAAATTAATTTTTTAATTCAATTAAGAATAATTAGTATTTAACTAAACATTTTAATAATAATTTGTAGTTAAATTAATTTAATTGTATTATATTATAATGTATAAATACGCCACTACTAACTAAACAGGTTTATTATTGATAAAACTAAAAGTTTAAAAAATTTAAAAAAATAATTCAATGCAAGTTTATATATGTTTTGTGCCTTTTTATGAGTATTAGGTTATGAATCTATAAACAAACTAAAAGCATAAATAAATACATAAATCAAATTATATATATAAAAGTACAACTTATTCGTACATTGATAGCAATGTTATGTTTGTTTGTTACTATTGAATGGCTAAATATGTTTGTTGTTTGTGTACTTAAAAACTAACTTAAAAAGTGATAATAATAAATGAAAACTTGATTTGCAATATATTTTTGCATTGACTGTCAAATCATTATTATTTGATTATTTAGTACATTAACTGTCTATTGATTTCAGTATTTAAATAAAATAAAACAGTCATTAATTTTAATATAAAATTAAGTTTTTATTTTCAAATGTCATTTCATGTCATTATTTGATATTTTAAAAAATAGTTGAAAATTATTAAATAGTGTTAACTTTAGGTCTAATTTATTATTATTTAAATTTAGTAATTAATTAATTAATAATAATAATCAAAACGCGACAAAATGTCAAAATTAGCAAAAGGTATAATCAGTTATAATACTAATAATAATAATTTAATTAATTATTTAAAAAATTTTATTACAAAATTATTGACAAAAAAATGTTTAATAATTATAATTATTTTGTTGTCAAACCCGACGATCAGGTGTTTTCATAGTCGGAGCCAAACGAACGGCTTTCGGTTCCTACGGCGGGGCACTAAAGGACACGACTAGTATAGAGCTCGGAGAAGTGGCCGCACGGGCGGCACTGCAGCACGCAAATGTTAAACCCGAACACGTGGACTCGGTTACCGCCGGCAATGTGACCTCAGTGTGTACATCATATTTGTTTATACTATGTTATCACCGATTGGTAGCACCTATATTAAGGACATCTATTTTCTTCGCAGTGTTCATCAAATAGTGGTCCAATGATTGCCCGACACGTCGGTCTACTCGTTGGTGTCCCACAAGCGGTACCCGCGTTAACGGTTAACCGTTTGTGCGGTTCTGGCTTTCAGGCTGTGGTGACGGCCGCTCAGGACATACTACTAAATGACGCCAATATAGCTCTGGCCGTTGGCTCTGAAAATATGAGTCAAACACCGTTTTTCGTAATATTTTTATAACACATATCTTTAGTCTACCATTACTTATACTTTTAATATTTATCAGATAAGAGGCGCCAGATTTGGTGTCAAGTTTTCAACCGTACCATTGGTAAGGATATCATAAAATAAGAGATTTTTATTTAATGCAATTTCAATGTTATTTCATTATTATATTTTACTATTATTTAGATTGAGTGCGGATTATGGCAAGGATTGGCCGACCATCACGTGAAAATGCCAATGGGAGCCACTGCCGAAAAATTGGCCAAAAAATATGGCATCACTCGCGAGGAAGCTGACCAATTGGCTCTTCGATCGCAACAGCGATGGGCCGATGCCCACAAACGCGGTGTTTTTAAAGAAGAGACCGTACCCGTGACCATTAAAGTTAAGGGTAAAGACGCTGTTTTCGATGTGGACGAACACCCGCGACCACAGACAACGATTGAGATTTTGGCCAAATTGCCGTCAGTTTTTGAAAAGAACGGTACGGTTACGGCCGGTAACGCTTCGGGTGTTAACGATGGCGCCGGTGCTGTGGTTTTGGCCAGTGAAGAGGCTCTCAAACAGTATAATCTTAAACCATTGGCTCGGGTTGTTGGCTATTGTAGTGTTGGTGTCGATCCGACAATAATGGGTATGCAATAAGTGATAGATTAGGACTTAACATATTTACTATAATTAATGATATATTTTTGTTGTTGTTGTTGTTGTTGATACGCTTAGGTATCGGACCGGCACCGGCTATTCGTAAGCTCTGTGAGTCAACTGGTATTTCACTGAATAATGTAGATCTGGTCGACGTTAACGAAGCATTTGCCTCCCAGTTCTGTGCCGTCGAGAAGGATCTCGGCTTAGATCCGGCAAAAACTAATGTGAACGGCGGTGCTGTTGCTTTGGGACATCGTATGTATCTTTTTTTTGTCTGTCATCTAAAAAGCGTCGTTTTTAACAAAAAAATGATACCTTTTTTCTAGCTGTCGGAGCTTCAGGCGCCCGAATTACCACAAATTTGGTTTATGAGCTAAACAGACGAAAAGCCAAGTATGGTATCGGCTCGGCCTGTATTGGTGGAGGACAGGGTATTGCCATTATGATTGAAAATGTTCAATAATTTATTTGTGCCGTATATAAGCAATTTTATCGTATTTTTTAGACTTTAATATTTCAAAAATGTTTCTTTATTTTTGAATTCATTAAGAAATTGTTTTTTATATATACCGTATATTTTAAATAAATGATTTTTTATATTCTGTTTTTATTAAATTTGAAATTTGTTTTACATTTTTCAAATCTATTTTATTAATAGGATTATTTGATAACAGTTTCATTATTTTTTTTAAAAGTTTAAAAATAATATTTAGCATGCAGTTTTTAAAAACTTAAAATTATTTTTATTTGATATTTTATTTTTAAAATACTGGTAGATATTTCTTTTAAAAATAATGATAAAAATATTTATTTGATTATTAATTTATTAAAACTCAATGATTTATTTTTAACACGCTCTCTAAATATGGGCATTGATTGTGATAAATGAAAAAATATTTTCTGTAAAAATACATTTAAGTATATAATTAGTGCTGTTTCTAATGAAACGATAATTAATAAAATAAAATTCATACATAAAAAAATTGAAAGACAAATATATATATATATATGAAAAATAAGTTTAAAAATAAATAAATGATAAAAAAATGAGAGATTTTTGTACTTTAAACAGAATGAGAGAAAAAAATACTAGACTTAGGTTTTAATATATTAGATAATTATATATTAATTTGTTAAAAATCTGATGCCATCTCCAACTCGGGTCAGTTTGCCCTTCACTTTCATGATGTTTTTCAAATCGTTTTTCGGCATCCGTACGGACATATCGCCACCGCCGTACTCGACCGATGATCGCTTGTCCGAAATGTTGGACAATATTTGATTGGCCGCTGCCGTCGCCGCCGCCGCCGACCCTTGTCGTTGTTGTCGCCACCAATGCCACAGCATTCCCGACAATCGGTTACCATTGAGTTGATTGACTCCATTACCGGTACCGATAATACGGTCCATCATCTTGTACTCGACGGCCGGCTCCAAACTATTGTTGTCCACTACAGCATTGTTGACCAGATCTTCGATTACCGAATTCGGATAATAGTAGACAGTGTTGCGGTTGAGTGGAGCGCCGTTGGCCACAAAAGTCGACATATGATAAACAATTGCAATGATTGCAAATGTGAGACTAAAACACAACGAATTCATGATATTTTTAAAAATTATTATTTAGTTATTGAGATCAGAGTATAAATCGAGTATTAGTTGAAAAAACTTTTTTTTCAATAATTATTTAATAATTTTTTGAGAAATTTCCAATTTGTGTGTTTAATAAACAATATTAGTATACTGTAGTGAATTTAATACAGTAAACAACTTTTTAAATAAAAAAAATTATTATTTATATTTCAAATTTTATTTTGTTTGCAGTCTTTACAGTAAGGTTTAAAATCTCTACTAAAACATATGGATATATAAAAACTTTAAAAAGTTTATGAACCGGATCTCTCTTTCTCTAAAATTGTGGTTTTTATATGAAATAAATTTTCAAATAGACTACTACTTGGTAACACAGTTTTTTTTTTATATTTGACTGCTAAGTTTGAAATTATTAAAATAAAACTAATACTTTGAGAGATAGACTATGGAAACATTATAATTTATAGAAATTATTTTTAGATTTTTTTTATTAATGTTTCAAACGCAATTGCATAAAAAACATATTATTATATATTTTTTTAGTTAAAACAACAACTTATAACTTAACATTTATATTGTATTTTTAATTGGGATTTATATTATTTATTTTTTTTTATTTGGTGGTTAATTCATTGGTAAAAATTTATGTTAAATACCAAGTTTATATGTTTAAGTGTGCATATATATAATATGTATAATATATCTATGTGTTGCAATGTTTTTCTAATTTAATAATTTTTTTTATTATGCTTGAGTAAGCAATGCAATTATTATATAAAGATATTATATTATTTATATTTTTTCATTGTTTATATAAGTGCCGAAAAATGATTAATTTAATCTAATAATATAATAACAAATAGGGTATGAAAATGTTATTTTTAAATTAAAAAATTTTAGATTAAAATCCAAATAATTTATATTAAATAATAGAATTGATATTTAAAAAAATATTTTCAGTATAAATGCTCAAAGATAAACCTAAATAATAAGATAATCAGAATTATAATTATAATAAAAAAAACTTTTTTTATTAAAATATAAATAAATTAAATATTGTAATATGAAATTTAAATTATTAAAAAACTAATTTTTAATTTAATAAAAATATTTTTAAGTATTATTATTAAGGATTTTGTGAACTCCATATTCTCCAATCATAATTGAAATGGCATTTATAGTTTCAGTTGCAACCGGTATAATACTTGAGTCAATAACTCTCAAATTTGAAACACCAAAAACTTTAAAGTTTTCATCGACAACAGCATCGGTATCGGGAGATACACCTATACGACACCCACCCATTGGTAATACCCAATCGGTATTTGCCTGTACTATACATTTTAGATACGTATCGCAAAAATAATTGTTAGGACAGGGAGTACAGCCAGGAATGGGATATTTATAGGGTTTAATTTTTTGTTTCATATGTGTGCTTGTATAAATTTTTAATGCTAATTTGATTGTTTTGACAAGATCATCTATGTCATTTTCATTACAAAATAGACATGGATCAATAATGGGTTCTTCAAGTGGATCAATAGATGCAAGTTGTATACGACCTACACTTTTGGCGCGTTTTATTAATGCTAAAAGTGAAAGACTGGTCCGATTTAGATATGGACTAAAATATTGACGCCATTGATCGGGATGTTTGTAATGTGCGACCATTGCATCCAAATCAGTGCCCAAATAACTAGTTCGAGATAATACACATCCATTACTTAGTTGTGGATATGTACTGTTGTACGACATTTCAGGAAAACAGGTAACACCCGACACTTTGTTTCTTAAAGGGCCGGAATTGTTGACAAAAAAATTGTAAATATTCTCAAAAGTTTTGAGTGGTTTCTCAACTAACGATTGATTAATTATATCAAAACTAATAGTATTTGAATCAATAATCGGTGAATAAATCATATTATAGCCAACTTTTAGATCAGAAACTACAGGAATATTCAGTTCTTCCAAATGATCTGACGGTCCGATACCCGATAGCATCAATAATTTAGGACTTCCTATAGCGCCGGCGCTTATAATAACTTCTTTATTAGCAAATACTTGATATATTTTAGAATTTCTGTAAACCTCAACACCAATTGCTTTCTTAATGTAATTAAACAAAATTTTTGTTACCAAAGAGTTAACTAAAATTTTGAGATTTTTATGATTACGATTCTCAAGAAAAACTTTGGCAATTGATTGGCGAAATCCATTACTATCTATCATTTTCTGCATATATGTGGTTCCCATTGGATTTCTTCCATCCATATGTGTCCACTTATAACCCAATTGTTTTGAAGCAATTATATAATTTTTAAGAATAACATCGATGACAGGTGTGGTTACTGTCAACTCTCCACCTGATTTATGATACTTTGATTCAATGGCCACTAATTTGTTGTCCAAATTATTTTCGGTTTTAAGAAAAAACGGTAAAACCTCGGCATAACTCCAGCCTTTAACACCTGTAATATCAGACCACAAACTATAATAGTCGGGACACTCGCGATAGTAGTTCATTGAGTTAATAGCTGTGGATCCGCCTAAAACTCGTCCCTGTTTTATGTTTGACCGATTGTCTACATAAGAAAAATGCGCGTATTTTTGACTAACAGTCGGATAATTCCAGTTTTGTTGGGTTTCACTTAATTTTGATTCAAATGCTAATTAAAATTTTATAAAGTATTTATAACTATGTATTATATATAAATTGATAATAAATTTTACCAGGGATGTCATTGTATATGTTTTGATTGCTTCCCGCTTCCAACAATAGTACAGTTGTTTTACTATTTTCAGCCAACCGGGCGGCTACTGTTGTTCCCGAAGCTCCCGAACCAACAACAATATAATCATAATATTTAATATTTAGATTATTATTGTTCAAAATATTTTTGTGTTTATTTTGTCTGTCAATAATTATTGTTGACAATAAAGTTAACATTTTAAGTGAAAACTTCATATTTTTTATTACTGTTTAATAACTTATATTAATTTTGTATATATTTTTTTAAAACTTAAAAACTCAAATATGTTTTTAAAAATAAATTAAGTTAAAAACCCCATAACTTATTAAATATAATGTTATAATCAGTATAATATAATTTTTAAAATTCTAAATGTTTAAGATAAAATTATATTAAAAATTTACTATTAATTTAAATTTAATTATATTATATTGACTATTATATAGAACATATGTTTTTTTAATTAAAAATTATACCCATATAAAAACATTTAATAATTACTTTAATTAAATATAATACATATTTTCATAATAAATACATAAACATTTTTCATTTACATTTGTCTTAATTTTTATTTTATTTATTATTATTTTATTTATAATATATTTTTATCATTATATTAATTTATGTTTTATTCATTATTATTATCGTGGGTCACACTAATTTTTAATTATAAATAAATCTATAGTTTATCAATAGTTCTCAACAATATAGATTATAATAATAATTAAAAAATTATTTTTAATTTATTAGTAATTTATATTAAAAAACATAAAATTAATTTAATAATATTAATATTTGTAATAAGTAAGCTGTCCAATTGAAATTATTTAACTAAATAATTTATTTTAATTATATTTTTTAGCGATATCGGAGAATAAACTAATATTAAATATATGAGTATATCATATAAATATAAGCATTTATACAAAAGTCTATATCACCTATAAATAACTTTTTAAGTCTTTATTAACTTTTAGCACTTTAATCAACTTTTAGTTAACTTTTGCTTAATTTTTGACTAAAATCTTTTAAATTTAACACAATTTTAGTGATAAAAAAATATATAAAATTAGTAAAACAATTATGTAAAAAATAAAGAGAAATAAATCTTAGTCTAGAGAAATAATAAATAATAATTACAATAAAACATTTAGCTTTATGTAATATGTCATTAAATAAATAATTTATTATTACATTTGCTGACAATAAACATAATTATTTCATATTATAAATAATTTTAAATTAAAAATCTAAATTAAAAAATTACAATTTGATAAAATATAAGATGGAAAAAGTATGAAGATAATATTGAAGAAAAAGTGTTTTTAAAAAAATTATTACTAATAAATTACTAATAATTTTTAAGTAAATATTTGACATTTTTTTTGAGTAACTTTTATATTAACTAAAAATTAGTATTTATATTTAACAGTAAATTTATTGTCAACTAACCCATGTTAAAACTAGTCAATTAATATATAAAGATTTCAAAATATATGATATACTACCCCTGTTTATGTACTGTAATTTATTTATTGTGCAAAAATAGCACACATTCTATTAGAATGAAATAAAAATTAAAGCATTTATTAAATTTAATTTCATAATTTATTAATATAACAATTATTTTAGATAACATAAGTAAATAATAAATTTGTGTGATATTTTAAAATAGATTGAAATAAAATTATTTAAAAAATAACTAGTTTATCCCGCGTAACATATATAGTCGTGCATTCTCATACTAATTTGAAAATATTCATAAGATATTTGAAAGACAACCAAATTTGTTTCCAATCGGACAGTCAACAACAATTGAAAGTTTGATTATAAATGGTTACATTAGTTGTACTGGACAATTATGGATATCTAATTTCTTTAGAAAAACGTCTATAAAAAACTCGCCCAATTAAAAATGTTTAATTTTTTGCTATAATGTAGTATATATATGTAGTTATAATATATGTAAAATTTAGATTAGGCTATCCAGAATAACGTTACTACAAAAGTTTTTGATATTAAAAATGTCTGTATTTAGCAATTAAATAGTCTCACTATTCTAACAAAACTACTGAACCTAATGTAACAAAACAACAGAATTACATATTAATTCGTCTTAACTCTTAAGAAATTTTAGTTATATATATATATTAAAAATTTAAATAAAAAATGAAAATTTATTCATTTTTTCCTAAAAAATAGCATTTGAAAAAAATTTACAAAAATATAGCACATGTAGCTAACTTCCTGGTGCCCTGTGACTCACACAATATAGCAAAATGTAATTACACAACACCTGTCTACTAGTCCCTAAAACCTACCTGAGCATTTAAAATTTCACAGAAATAACATTGTTTTGAATAAAAATTGAAAATATAACAATACATTTTTAGGTTTGAATTAAAATATGGTTGTTGGAGAAAGGTGTCATACATACATACATAAAGAACTATTATCTTAAAGTGTTATCTTGATAAGCAAAAATAAAAATAAAATAATAATACATGTTATAACAGTGGAAAGTAAAATTAATATTAAGACATTTTATTATAATTACTAATTATTAGTTAATATTTTTTTGATCACAACATAAAAATATAAAAAATTTATATTTAAATTTGTAAAAATAAAGTAAAATTAACAAATAATCTACAGTTTATAATGTATTAATGATTTTGTGGGCTCCATATTCTCCAATCATAACCGATATGGCATTTATCTGTTCGGTTGCAACCGGTATTATACAGGAGTTAATAACTCGTAAATTTGAAACACCAAACACTTTAAAGTTTTCATCGACAACAGCATCGGTATCGGGAGATACACCTATACGACACCCACCCATTGGTAATACCCAATCGGTATTTGCCTGTACTATACATTTTAGATACGTATCGCAAAAATAATTGTGAGGACAGGGCGTACAACCAGGAATGGGATATTTATAGGGTTTAATATATTGTTTCATATATGTGCTTGTATAAATTTTTAATGCTAATTTGATTGTTTTAACAAGATCATCTATGTCTTTTTTATCACAAAATTGACATGGATCAATAATTGGTTCATCAAGAGGATTAGTAGATGCAAGTTGTATACGGCCTACACTTTTGGCGCGTTTTATTACTGCATAAAGTGAAAAACTGGTCCGATTTAGATATGGTCTAAAATATTGACGCCATTGATCGGGATGTTTGTAATGTGCGACCAATGCATCCAAATCAGTGTCTATATAACTAGTTCGGGGTAATACACATCCATTACTTAGTTGTGGATATGTACTGTTGTACGACATTTCAGGAAAACAGGAAACACCCGATACTTTGTTTCTTAAAGGCCCGGAATGGTTGACAAAAAAATTGTAAATATTCTCAAATGTTTCGAGTGGTTTCTCAACTAACGATTGATTGATTATATCAAAACCAATAGTATTTATCTCAATCATCGGTGAATTAATCATATTATAACCAACTTTTAGGTCAGAAACTACAGGAATATGCAGTTTTTTCAAATGATCTGATGGTCCGATACCCGATAGCATCAATAATTTAGGACTTCCTATAGCGCCAGCGCTTATAATAACTTCTTTCTTAGCAAATACTTGATATTTTTTAGCTTTTCTGTAAACCTCAACACCAATGGCTTGTTTTTTATCATTAATCAAAATTTTTGTTACCAAAGAATTACCTAAAACTTTGAGATTTTTTTGACTTCGATTTTCGAGAAATATTTTTGCAATTGATTGGCGAAATCCATTACTATCTATTGTTTTCTGCATATATGTGGTTCCCATTGGATTCCTTCCATCCATATGTGTCCACTTATAACCCAACTGTTTTGAAGCAATTATATAATTTTTAAGAATAACATCGACATCAGGTGTGGTTACTGTCAACTTTCCGCCCGATTTATGATACTTTGAGTCAATAGACACTAATTTTTTGTCCAAATTATTTTCGGTTTTAAGAAAAAACGGTAAAACATCGGAATAACTCCAACCTTTAACACCTGTAATATCAGACCACAAACGATAATAGTCGGGACACTCGCGATAGTAGTTCATTGAGTTAATAGCTGTGGATCCGCCTAAAACTCGTCCCTGTTGTATGTTATACCGGTTGTCCACAAAAGCCAAATATGCATTTTTTTGTTTAACAATAGTATAATTCCAGTTTTGTTGAGTTTCACTTAATATTGATTCAAATGCTAAATAAAATTATTTGTATATTTTATACGAATTAAAAATTATTAGAAACATATTTAAAGTAACTAACCAGGGATGTCATTATATGTATTTTGATAGCCTCCCGCTTCCAACAATAGTACACTTGTTTTACTATTTTCAGCCAACCGGGCGGCAACTGTTGTTCCCGAAGCTCCCGAACCGACAACAATATAGTCGTAATTTAGTATTATTTTTAGATTATCATTGTTTTCAATATTGTTGTGTTTATTTTGTTTTTCAACAATTATTGTTGCTAATATGGTTAATAATTTTAAAGAAAACTTCATATTTTTAATTACTATTTATTTATTATACTATTTATTATATAATATATTAATTTTTACATTTAAAAAACTTAGAAATTCAAATATGTTTTATACATAGTATATGGTGTTAAAAATATTGTAATACTAATTTATTATATAGTTAAATATTTATATTATATTACAAAATTTACTAATAAATTTAATTTTGTATTATATTAATTATATTAATATTTCATCAATTTTGACTAATAAGCAGAACATATCAGAGAAATCAATTTAACATATTTGAAATTTTTTTACATTTATCTATCAATTATTTAATAGAATATTTTATTTTAAAAATTAAAAAAACTATTTTAGTTGAATTTCTTATAATTTTTATTGGGTTAATGTAAACATTAAAAATTTTATTTAGTTTTGGTAATGTCTGTTAAATTTTAAAACATAAAATATAGTACTAACGGTACGACCACTAAAAAAGTGTCGACCGATTCTAAACAATACGACAACTATTAGACTGTATAAACATATTTCTACATAAAATTCAATATTTTTAATCTGCTTTTTAAAATATAGTAAACTGTTTATTACTTACAGGAAATTTAATTTTATAATATGTATTATTATATTAATTTCTATTCTTAGAAATATCTTATAGTTTTTAAACTCATTTATAAACTGTTACTTTGTTTTAAATACTATCATCAATGTGTTGTCTGTAATAATGTGATAACTTGTCCCATAGTTATAAAAATAAATGTTTTTTAACCTTAAATTATATTTTTTTATCCCTTCAAGACTAAAAATTCAATTAAATATAATGTTTAGCATTTACGGTACTACCACTACATGTATCGTCTGTTTACTGTTAAAACTTAGACAAAGACTAACCAAATATACAAAAAGTATCTCTATTTATACATAAAAAAAATATAAGTACAAGTATTCAAAAGCATTGGGAAAATAACTTATAAAACATTAATCATTAAATTACGATCAAAACTATTTGAAAATACCTAAAATATATATGCAATTTATAGTTTAAACTATTGACTACAAATAAATTATACAAAAATATTATAAACTTGTAGTTAAAGTTAGAATTTAACAAATTTATAATACAGTATTAAACAATACGATATAATTATAAACATATAAGTAATTATGGAATAACTTTAAATACTAAATATATTTAAACCATAACCACTTGACGTAAGCATAATATCTATAAAATTATAAAATAAATTAACATTTGATAGTATTATTCCCATTTTACTGACCAATACGCTGGAGATAACCACTAGTAGTCTTTCATCAACAAAAAAATATTATTTTGTTTATTAGTAAAATTAATTAATTTAAATAAAAATTTTTAATTAGTATTAATTTATTTATACATTTTGTTATTTTGTATAGCATTCATATATAGTAAAACTAAGTGACATAACTTATATAAAGAAATTTAATAAATTTTTGTAAATTAAGAAAAGCTAATTTATATAACAGTATACCACTTGTATAATGTATTAAAATTATAAAACAATTTTTATTTTAATTAGTTTTTTCAAAACATACTTAAAATATCTTAATTTAATTAATATACAGAACTTACTAATGAAAGACTAGTGTCGGTCGTCTAAAAATTAATTTTAATTACAGAAAACTTTTTATTTTGTAAAATTACTCTAACTTTTGAGATTATAGTTTATTTGTATATATGTTTTGTATAATTATTGTATATTTTATGTTATTTTCCATATAGTTTTAATTATGTTTTTTTAATTATTATTTTTATAAATAGATATACAATTGATTGAGTGTAATATTATATTTAATTCAATTTAATATTTAATAAAATATTATGATTTGTTTGCCATATGATTAAGAAATTTTTTTAAAGTATAGATTTGAATAAAGCATCAAAAACAAGGATAAAAAATATGCATTAAAATTTTGATATCTACGGAAACAAAAAGAATAAGTATAAGCGGAAAAAGTATAATTATTTTTATGATTATTTTGTTATACTAAATCATTTGATACCACACATGAGTAGTTGATTATTTTGTCATACTGAATCATTTGATACAATACATGACAATATTTATATTATGTATATTTGACCAGTTTTTAAATTTTTATATGTTATTATATAGCCGCTATAATTATACAAACTAATAGTTTTCAATGTTATTCAAGTTTTTTTTCTGAAAATGCTCTCTAGCATTCTTAACTGGTTTTATTTTAGATTTTAGTAAAAAATAATTTTTTATAAACTCAAAAAACTTATATTCAATTAATAACAAAAATATATATTTCCTTTTAAAAAATCATTATTTCTTTTTTTAAATAAATTAAAATTAAGTTATTTAAAAAAAACTAAAATTATTTAATCTAATGTAATTTTTACGTGTTATGAAATAATATTTTTTTGTTAACTGATTAATCATATTTTACATAATAAATTTGAATTACGTATAATAAATTTAGTTATCTTTACTAATTGACATTATTTCTCAGAAAAAAATAATAAAATTTACAAAAGTTTTCAAAATAATTTTATTGTATTTCTCATCTAAATAATTAAATTGAATGTTTTAACATTTATACAAATATAAACTTATTTTTTAGTAATGTTTTATATAGTATATTTTTTTATTTTAAAACATATTATTTAAATATTTATAATTTAAATTATATAAATGGATTATTCAATAATTGATAAAATTAACAATAATTTAAAATATCATAAAATTTTTAACAAAATTACAATAATTTTATATTTAATATAATTAATATATTTAAGATTTATCAACATTAGTAATATTATTTAGTAATAAAAATTTATTTTATTATTTTATATATACTAAGCTATTATAAATTACATTATGTTAATCTTAATTATATTTTAATTAAACTATATATCAGTTTGTATTATTTAAAGTTGTTTATAATTATTATATTAATATAATTTAATGCACTATTTGTATGTATTATACAATACTATTAGTGTTTTGTGGATTATTTTTGTTTAATCTTAAAATCTTGTAATTTATTTTGTTTTAAATTACATTATTTTTATTATAAATATTTTTGTTTGTTTAAAAATATTAAGCTTTTATTAAACATTTATTTCATGATTTAACTGTATAATGAATATTTTATATTAATTTAATGCTAATATTTATTTAAATTCAATAATTTAAAAAACCAATTACAATGCATTAATAAAAAAAACAGAAATTTTATGTCATGTTTACTTAATTTTTTAGAATTTTATTAGATATTACTAAATAATAAAATTTTAGTCGAACTCTGCTTACAGTATTATAACGGATCAATATTTTGTGATTTTACCCCCACCCCCACATTTTTTGATCAAAATATAAAAAAAATTGTAGCTTAAAAACAATAAAAAATTTTCAGAACTTTATATGAATGTAATTATTGAATAAAAAATAAGGAAAATAGTTAAAATCATCTTCAAATTAATCTTAATATAACTTTATTTTAATTAATTAAAATTATTTTCTTTAATTAAAACTTTAGTTAAAATTAAGTTAAATAATTACTATTCAGTCACATTTAAAATATAAAAATATAAACTGTATATACCAAAAAGCTTAAACTATTAATTATTTAAAGAAATAATTAAGTATTTGTTAAGATAAATATTATATAAACAATTTTTGTATTTGTGAAGTGAATTAGTGATATATTTTTAAAAAATTTTAAAAGATAATATTACAACATAATATATTAATAAAAACAACTAATTATTTATTAGAAAACTAAAATAATTTATTCATATCTAGTATATACCCACGCAATGCATTATATTTACTTATTGTACGTTTTATAGTAAGAAATATTATAATTTTAATAACATTATTACGTGGAATGTATAATATTATTAAATAAATTATATTATATATTGTATGATCAATAATACTTGTATATCACTAAAAAATACATTTTTAAAGCTATATTTGATATAAAATAGTATTTATATATTTATTATACAAAAAATATTCAATTTATATATTTTTTTGTTGTAAATATATACAGTTTTGATCAAATAAATATACGATAGAAAATTCAACATTTTCTATTGTATTTTATATTACATTCTTTGTAAAGCATATAATAACAACAAAATATTTCTTAGTGAATATCAAATCTAAATATATATATATATCGAGTTAATAAAAATATGATTGTAATATATAGATATAAATTTATATTATTGTTATATAAAAACCAGTTGAGAATGGTAGAAAGCATTGCCCAGAAATAAACTTTAATAGCGTAATAAATATTATAATACTCAACTAATACATTACTAGAAGTTTATTGTTTATATTTATTATGTCATATTATAATATAAATTTATTGCTGATAACCAATAGTCAATCTGAGTAATAGTATAATTAAAATATTAGTTAATTTATATAAGTCATAAAATATATCACAAATCGATTACTAAATTCACACACAAATCAAAATTATTAAAAAAATTAATTTGTCGCCCATTTTGATTATATTCTTTAGATATTTATATTAGATATTATAAATCTTAAAAATTTATATGAATTTCAATCAAAAATTTTTTAGTTTAGTCGTTATTATGTCTATATTTCCAATAACATGTCATTTTTTTTAGGTGATCCCATATTTCATATTTATGATGTTTTAAATGAAATCAGAATTTCAAAATTCACAAAAAGTATTTTAAGACAGACAGATATGATAAGACACATAGATTCCAGAATTAAATTTTTATCAAAATTTGTTTGAAAATCTAAAATACATATATATTTATAGTATGGCAATACTATAGCTTAATATTACAATATATTTAATAAAAAATATCAGTATTGTATCGACAATATTATTATAATTCATGAACGGATTTTTATGTATTATAGTGTRTGTATATATATATATAKATATGTATTTAGTATATTATTTGAAAATTATAATTGCATAATAATATTTTTT